GTGGGCAGCTCGCGGGAGGCGAGGGCAGAGCCGCCCAGTCGGCAGCCCGTGGAGGTGGTGGCGGTGAGGCTAAGGAGGAGGAGGAAGAAGAGCCGGTAAGTGGAAATAGAAATCGAACCCCCGAGAAACACTTACACGACACCGCTGCCCGAGCCATTGTTTCCGACCCGTTCCTCGACCACCGTCTTCAGGCGCAGCGGCACGCCCGGGTAGCACTCCTTCAGGACGGAGCGGGCCTCCTCGGCGGCCTCCTTCGCCGCCCCCAGCGGTTGACCGCCCCCGGCGACCCAGCAGTAGCCCTCAATGAGCGTCACCTCGCCGCGGTCCACCAGCTCAATCGGCTGCATGGGCTCGGCCAGCAGGGGGGCGGTGTTGACCACCACCTCGCCGCCGCCGCGCGGGTAGTAGCCGCGTTTGACCGTCTCCGGGCTGAGGGCGAAGTGGACGCCGAAACGGGCGAGCAGCGGCCCCAGCACCGAGGTGGTGTAGTCGAGCTGCGGGGCCATGCCGACGTTGGTGCCGCCCTTCAGCAGGAGGGAGCACTGGTGGAGTGAGCCGAAGACTAGAATGGGCAGGGTGGACTGCAGGAGGAGGGTGACGCTTCTGTGGAAATAGAGAATCTAGAAATCGAAATCGAAACACCCCTTCTTCTTCTTCTTCTTCAACTTACCCTGCCGTCCTCGTATCGCCGACGTACTGACCGGCCTCTCCGGCGGCCCGGCCCGGCTTGAAGCGAATCTCCAGACTGCCGATGGAGTCGCCGCTCAGCTGGCCGCCGGTGATCTCCGCCGCCAGACGGAGGCCGGTCAGGTGCTGCGCCATCAGACCGGGCTTCGGGCGGTTGCCGCGGATGTTCACCACCTGGATCGGCCGGCGGAGGATGCCCGCCAGGGTGGTGGCGATGCGGAGGATCTGCCCGCCGCCCTCGAGGATGCCGCCGTCGATTACCAGCGGCGAGTAGTTGTGGGTCGGCGCGAGGAAGCTCATTTTGGCGGTGGTGGTGATGGAACTTCTACTTTGGCCGCCGAAGATGGTAGTGGTAATGAGGTGAAAGACTGCTCTACGATTGGCCTCGAGGATGAGCTTCTTCAGCTTTGAAAAGTAGTGCTTTTTCTTGATCTTCTTCTTCTTCTGATGATGATGATGATTGTGCCTGGAGTACCTCTCTCACTTTCTGGCCGAGAAGTACAACTAAAATGGCGGAAAAAGTTATTGTTTCTTTACGACAAGAAAACGTTTTCTCCCTTTTTCGCAAATCAAAACACTGCGAGGCAGCTACTGCCACCCAGGCGGCGGCAGACAGTGTTTTGAGTCAGAGCGGGTCGATGTAGTCGCTGTTTCTGTTGTTTTGATCGAGGACCTCCAGGCAAGCAATTCTGTTCTTCAACAAACAGCTCTGGTCTTCTTCGGCTTCAAGAGAGATTATCACCTTGAGGACTAAAACTTTGAATTCACCATGAGCTCCAGGAACTTCCGCAACGTCCCACCGCCGTCCAATCTAAACCACCGAACCTCGTACGCTCGTGCGGACGATGTCTACTCGAGAGCTGAGGCGGCGGCCGCCAGCTCCGGCGTCAAGCGCTTCGCCTCGAAGTTCAACAGCGAGGACGATTACTTTGACCAGGATGACGATCAGCAGCAGCCAACAACAACAGCTTCCAACAACAAAGATG